CATTATAGGAGTGAGCAATCTGAAATTTTTCAGAAAGTAGAAGCGATGAAATGCTGGCAAATACGCTGGCACAATGCCGGGGCATAAAATTTGACGATGTGCGATAATAACTGGAGGAGAAGTTTGCAGTCACAAGGACGCATTCCCAAAACTGATCATAACCCATGATGTTGGTGACTGCATCGGTGAATAGCAAAAAAGAGCATCACATCCAAAAGGACACTTCCTTCTCATAACTCTTTTTTATCGCTTTTTTTTGATTCTATATTGTGCCATTTTTATATCACTTTATAAAATACCAAAATACTTGCACGTAGCATTTTGCAAATCAAAAGCACAGTTCACAGCATTCATTATTTTTTAGCAGTACAGCTGCAACCTTTTCACTTGCTTTGACCAGTGGATTGCATCGTCTGGAGAACAACCTGCTGGTCATTTTGATATTTCTCTTCATTTATTTCAGCCATGAAAAGTTATAACAGTCTCGCTCATGTGAAATTTTATCGAGCGCCTTAACAGGTTTGTTTTGTCGAGATATTTTCAAAGTGTGTTGGACGCATCGGACTATTGCCAAGCCATTCATTTTTTTTTGCGAAGCCATAACTTTCCCAGGAGTTTTTCAAACCTCAGGGACTGCATTTGAGGAAGCCACTTCCACCGGAGCAATTTCGCAAAGTTCTTATGCGACACTGGCATCGCCACAAATCTATTACTTGATTTCTGATTAGGTCACAAATTATCCAAAATGAATGGAATTGCCATTAGAAGCGTGTCTGATGGCTAATTAGTGGCAAAAATCATTTGCAAGTGGTACTTGATGGTAATTTAATGAGAGCCAATTGTTTACGTAATGCCAGAAAAGGGCGAAGGTTGAGCGCAGCATCTTCTGTTCCCCTCAAGCCTCACTAGGCCAGAATCCGATTAAATTCGAACGAATCAGATGGGACATCTCCCACGAATTTCTGGATCCGAAACATCTGAAACGGCTCTATTACCAGTCCCCGGCAGTCGCATTACTAATATGTAAGACAACATTGTTTTTAGGAGAAAGTAAAACCGTTCAGTAGTTCCACCCTGCCTGACCTGTCCACATTCGTAGCAGCACATCTAGCCACAATTATGAAAGAACTGTGTGAACGTTTCAGGAACAAACTTGTAAATGCAGAAGCTTAAATGAAATTCGCATTCAACTTCAGAATTTATTAACACAAAAAATATGGAAAAACTGTGGTTGCAACAAAAATTTCAAAGAGATGCAGTGAACAAATGGAATGTCAGTAGAACTGAATAAAGCAAAAATTTCGAATTTCCACAGAACACAGCGACGATTCCGGAGTCTTAACATACTTGCTCCTATTATCTGCAAAACACATCCTGGTCGATAGTGAGAACATAAAACTGATCAAAGACTTCTTAGAAAACACCAGTGACGCCCGTAAACTTTTTTTTCCCCAGCAGGAGCGAAAGATGAATCGTCCTCTGGGATACAAATAATGTACATGCATTTCTTAAAACCGCCTACCAAAAAAAGCTGCTAAACCAAAAGTTCTGAAAAGCAGTTCACGTCCAGGACACAGCTCACAACGAATGGTGACAAAGGAAGGTCTCATCCCCTCCTTTTCCCCTTCCGTAAGCGAAAGCTACTCTCATGCCTAAAACATAATTCCTTCAAGCAAAATGACCAAAAGTAGAAAGCGGGGGAAAGATCGGTTCCTAAGCTCCCTCTCTCCTCCCCCTCCATCTTTTCCTCCTTCGTGGCACATCACTGGAACGTAATGGTATGTAGGATTTGCTGATATAAGATAAACATATACAAATTACATACAGAGACCGCATGAGGTTTAAAGATAGGCACAATCATGTCAAGCCAAAAAATTTGTATAAAAGGAAAAAGATGACACAATAAAAAAAAATATTTGTACAGCACAACAAACATGAGGCCGCTTCTGTTGCTTCAAAGTTACTGTTACTTACTGCAAAAACTATCAAAGCTATAACTGCCAAATACATGATATTTCTAAGATGCACGGGAACTTCCTTTTTCCCGCACTGCAATCAATTTTGGGTAAATATCGTCGCTTTTTGCCAGGATTATAATTTTCCGTACTAAATGATAAGTTATAATTTACCTCACCCATGAAATTCATCATTAATTGCTACAAAAAATCGGTCAAGAGGAAAGATTTTTCAAAAATCCACTACTATAAACAAATAAAAGTCAAAACTCCTTCGGCATCTGTTCTCAGTGGGAGATTGAAGCATTCGAAAAAAAAGCCTGACAATAACACAATCGTTGACAACAGCAAAAAATTGAAAATAAAAAGAATGGGAGGCATAAAATCACATAACATTTCAGCCGAGAATATACAGTTCATACTTTTTAATGAATTCCGCACATTTCATGTTGTATTTGAAAAATTAAAGCACATTTCATCAGCATAAAACTAGAAGTGAAAGAAATGGGAGGCACAAAATTACGTAACATTTCAGCCGAAAATGTATAAATCTATACTTTTAATACAATCAACACTCTTCGCCTTATATTTGTAAAAATTAAAGCACATTTTACAGCTCTCAAGTTCAGAAATCGCATAAAATCGTTGTAAAATAAGCAGCGATATTACAATAAAAAGGCCATGTAATTATTGCAATTTGTATGAAAGGCGATTCGCAATAATAAACTGAGATCCGCAACAACGAAATGCCACAGTTTCGATAAAAATCAAAAAGATCCAGCTGGTACACTGAGAAACAATCGATATTTGGAGTATGCTGGCTTCGCTAAAACCTTCAGTATGTCCCGCATAAGAAGCTGAAATTTTCTAATTATTAATGCCTAGCAGAGCTACAGCTTAACTGTGGCTAACGCTATCTTTTGCAAGCAATTCATCAGACTTTTCACATGTTTTATCACTGCTTTTAAAGTCTCGTGTTCGCTTTCTTGATGACACAGGTACGAACCGATCGACAACAGATCAAATCTTACATCCGTGTGAAATTATCAATATTACTAAGGCAGCACTGATTATCACTCTTAAGAAGAAACCACGTAGCAAAGTCAATAAATGGCAACGCGCACCAGACTAGCCGATGCGATCATGCGTTTTGTGCAATTCAGCCCATCGTACGATTGCCTATTAATGATTTCACTGCTTTGTACTTTAGTCTATGCAAAAATAGTTTAAACATTGGAAAACAGTTAAAAATTTCACGCAGCAGCGTACGAAAGCTGAATTCTAAACCTTGAAGGATGAATATCTTTCCGTGATTCTCGAATTAATAGTTTACCCGCCGAAATTTTCACGAGGCCGCAGATGGTACGCGAGAGCGCGAGAACGCTGAATTTGAATGGGCAACGTTGAGCGTGGGCAGGGGGTCATTACCCTAAAACTTCAGCCTCCTTGACTCCGTGATTCCCGAGATATTAACTTATCCATGAATAACTTTCACGAGGCCGTACGTGTTACCCGCGGGTAAGGGAAGGCTGAATTTGAATTTGCGGGTCACACATGGATGGGGAACGTCCCCCTAAATTTTCAGCTTCCTAGCTTTTGTGGTTACCGAGTTGAAAATGCGGAGGAGTTGCTGCGGACACACACACACACACACACACAAACACACACACACAGACAACCCTGTGGCAATATGCGTTTTGTACTGCTGTTACACAGCACAAAACGCATAAAAACTTCGTATTTCACTCACTCTGAAAATAGTGATAATATTTTCTCAACTGCAACCACTCAGTTTTGGATCTACTAGGGATTGTTCCCTTCCAACTGATGTTCCAGTCTCGCTCTCTACGGTTCTGGATAGACATAATCAGTTTACCAAAAGAGCAAAAAAATTCGTGGTTTTGTCCTCAACAGATAAAGACATCAGCTTGAAGATAAACTCGACTGGAAATTTCACCTCTTTCACCGAGACTCACACTTCCTGAACTCTAGAAGTTCTCCTTACTCACCTCAGTTTTTCCTAAGAATGGCACAAAATGGAAAAATAATAACTAACCGCAAATTTGGATTTAATCATCCCGATTTTTGGTCGATAGCAATCCATTAAGCATTGCTGAAGCTCTTCCAAATGAATTCGCTCCTCTTCTCGCTCAAAATAGTGTACGTCTTGTAAATCCTCCACAATCACAGCCTTCTGGTATCCATTAAAACGTTTTCGTGCTTCACTTACATCATTCGCCTGTATAATAATTTAAAAAGTTTCTATGAAAACACAACTTTTCTATGAAAAAATGAAAAAAGACGCCAGAAAATGAGTTTCACGACTACCAGGAACATGCTGATCACTTGAAGATTTCAGGTTGCATCAAACCCAAGAAAAACAAGCTGCAACGATGATGCATAGGGATATTTTGATTAAACAACGGTTCATCAAAAAGCAGCTTTTCTACGGCGAAAAAAACTAGTCCCAATTAGCTGCAAATGTCAAAAACACATCAAGAACCGCCAGAAATCATTCGTTTGCTACGAAATCAGATACTCAAAAGTATTTCGAGTATTAGCAAGTGCCAAAATCAATCAAGTGCTGGCAAGGCTGTTGATGAATAACAGGGTATGAACGGACACAAAAAGTCCACTGGAAAAAAAAAACTTAAAAAAACTGAGGAAAACTTACATCCAGGCGAAAGCATGACCAACAGTCCAGTAATTCCACGATTAGCGTGAAAAGTGCGTAAAACAGATTACGCAATGTCTGAAAAAAAAAGTATATTAAAAAAGTATATAAAAAAAAAGTATAAAAGTATATTAAAAAAAAGTATGTCGTAGAAGTCACCAAGACCGCCTAGACTATACGGATTGGCAATATTACTGGAATACAGCAGCATCAGCTATGTAGGGTTCATTCCATCTGAGGTTACTGGCTCTAATTTATGCTTATTTGTCTTCACGGTAGCAGGCATATGTAGAAAAAGAATGTTCCAGTGCTACCGTCTAATGCCCAGAGTCTAATGTCCGTTGTTCCAACATGGAATATTCCATTACTCATACCAAAAGAACGGCTAGGGAAGACAGACTAGGCCAGTAGCATAATCGTCTAACGTCTCCTATCCCTTCCGTGAACCAGCGCAAAAGGAACACAGCAAAAATGCTGCTTTGAGGTAGCTTTGATTATAACAAACGCACAGAAACAGGTAATTCCTCGAGCCCCGCTTGAAAGCAGTTCTCTTTTCCCAAGTTCCCCTCCTTTTTTCCGTATTATAAAGAATTCGAAAGTGAACTCACTGTATTTTTCTCATTCAAAAATAGATTTTCTTCTAAAGCGTCAAGATATCGCTCATGTACTTCTATAATGGCATCTGTATCGCCATGAATACTGTCAATTTCTTGGGAAAATTTTGACTGCAAAGGCAGTGTAACCTGAAAAAGGTGGATTGTGAGGTGAATTGAAGTGTTCTGAACTCATAAAACTAAAATATTCAGACAAAAATTTACAACCGAAACATATTTCGCAATTCAAACCTTGCAAAAAAAAAAAAATAAAGATATTCAAGGTGGTCAATATAACAGTAATCCCAGGGGTAACCATTCAAGGGAAAGGCTTTCGACAGCTCCCTCACCCAAGACTTTCTTGAGCAAAAAGCTTCTGACATCTGAATTCACGGGGCGATGGGCACAGAAGCACCAGTACTTGTTGCCGAAGTACACCGCTTCTATCACTCATACTAAAGTCAAAAGCCAAAACCTCACCAGATTCTCCTTCTATGACAGGCTGAGGCACTCAGAAATAGTCCAAGTGGTAGAAGCTTTAGTAGCAAGTACACGGTGGAACGGCACTTTCTGGCGCTGCTTATAAGCGCGGTGATCTTGACTCCCTCGCATGCTCTTGTATCAATTTACCACGGGAACAAATAAATGAGCGGTTGAAAGATAAGCTGTCCGTTCCAGGAGTCGGCCTGGATCCTCAGTATGATGACACTTTGCATGTTATTTTTGCTGCAACCGTCACACTGACGAGGTCCAGTTGTAGCACTGAACAGGAATGTATGCGACTTAATGGACCGAAACATTCCTATTCAGGTTTTTTAATCCGATTTATCTTATTCACCCTCTTTTTATTTCTTCCTTTTAATCCTTACTTTTTACATAAACACACATCATCTAAAATTAAAATTACAAGAGCGCTATTTGCCTATTATGCGCCAGTATCAACTTGCTACGGAAACGAATGACAGAATCCACAGAAATGGGTTGTTTCGCCAGCGGAGACGAACTTTTCTCCTACATCATGACAACACCACTACTTCTCACTGTGCCATGCTCATCGGCCATATTAACGCAAAACAGATATTTGTTCAAAATATGGTCTGATAAAAACGGAAGAAGATTTCATGCAGCACTGGTTAAAGCAAATGAAAAAGTTGTCAAATACCAAACGCGCTATGAATTTTTTATTATCCCATACCTTCCAGATATTTTCTCTTATACAACGTTTATATTCAAACTACCACCTTATAAACTAACCTTAATTTTTCAACAACACAACCGTGCTGAAAAGGAATGTATGCGATTTAATGGACCGAAATAATCTTGTTAATTTAGTCATTTTTTTAATAAATTTACATTTTACGTACCTCAAAACCAATAGTTTTAGTACTGTGAATCTATGCATTTTTCAAGTATGAATATCAAAGAAATGAAAAGCAAATCAAAGCGAAACACTTACGGTGTAGCAAATATACCTACGAAGTTCCTTCAAAACGTCACACATCCGGGAAAACGCAGCGGAAAATAATTTCAGAATTTGCTTTGTATCTGAAAAACTGATACTTAACCCAAACTTTTCTTCTACA